AGGAAATTCTATGGAAGCAAGGATTAGACTAGATCAAGAGCCAATACCCAGTTTATCAACAAAACAAGATTAAAAGTATTATCTACAGTGTGGATAAAGATGAGTGAGAGAGAGAAAATTACCTTCATATGTATAGCAATGCACAAAAGCATCTAAATTTCCCAAAATTATACATGCCTTATCCACTGCCTCATCAAAACTTGCCTCCCTTTCCTCTTCCATATCCATTTCAACTGCCTCCACTGGAAAAGCACCTTTGATTGCACCTGTTATCTTCTCGCCGATACTCCTTAAAACCTTCTCATTTCCCATCAAAACCAATCTGATCATACATCACCAAATAACATATTATTCAATAAAACAATCAATGTAGTTGACTGTCAGATTGTACTAAAATAAAGAACACAAACATCTTAACCATAACTTTCAGTCTTTTCCTAAGAATAAAAAGTCCTTCCTCTGCTTTTGTAAGCATAATAAAAAAAAAATAAACTGTCAATTGTAGCCCGCAAAGATTCCGTTTTTGTTGAAAGAACAAGTGAAAAGATTCCTTGAAAGGAACTATTAGTACTTTAGATTTCATGAAGGAAAAAAAAATAAACGTAAGAAAGTAAAATTCAAAGATTGAAACCATCATTTGGTAACATTCCCTTTGGCTTCCAAACTATAAAACTTGAAAGAAAGAACGAAACATATTCTTAACCTGCATCCTTGTTTAACCAAATGAAAGGCAATATTCTGTGAAATCTCATCTCCATTTGAAGTAAGCAACACTTTATTTGCCCCACTTCCCATTCTCCAATCCAAACTTGAATTTCGAAAGAAATCCTGTTAATTAAAATAACAACAAAATAATTCATCATCCAAAATACACATAATTCACGTTAAAAAGTATGAAAAGAATTCTCTATCACAGAGATGATGGTACCTGTCACGAAACTAATTGAATGAAGTGAAAGACAAAAGAGAGAAATCTCGTCAAATGAATGAACGCTAGAGCTGTGTCTGTCCGTCTGTCACAAGTGGAGTTGTCTTCTTTTTATTTCGGTTCTGTGCTGTGCTGTGCTGTGTGTCCCAGCAAAATTTTCATTTTTATTAGATTTGTAAAAGAAAGAAACCATCCTTCTCACCATCTTGAGATAAACAAGGGGTGTTTTCGTTTTTTTTTTTTTTTAATTTTAATATTTGGATTAATTTAGATGTATTTTGATTAATTTTATAAATTCTGAAATTAATAATAGTTTTTAATTCTAAAACTTGAATTTATAATTATTAAAAAATAAACTTAAAACCTTATTAATTTAACTATTTTTATTTGAAAAATAAGTGTTTTTTTTTATTTATTTACATGAGTGTCCAGGCCAGCTTGCGCGCACCACGACTAATCTCACGACTCACTGAATATCCTGCAAACTCAGTAAGCATGTAAGGCACCGCGGGGGTGACAGACGTGCACGGTGAGGTTTGAACCCAGGATACAAAAAAAAGGAACAAGTCTCTTTAACCGCTGGACCAAGACCTTATTTGCAATTTTATTTGCACGTACAGTGGATGATCGTGTCACGTGATTTGGCAACGCCTCAACAACCACTAGCGCGGCGCTCTTGCCCGGTGGAGGGACCTCTTTAATTTATTTTAATAATGCTAGGAAATCCTAGTGAATTACTTGATGAATAAAGCACAAACCTTAAAAAACTCGTCCTTCATTGAGTTCCCACAAAGAGGTTGTCTCCTTTGAGTTTTTTTATGTATACTCCACAAGTTTTTGAAATTTCAATTTTTCTTCTAAATGATGCCGTTTCTACTTTCATGAAAAAGTAGTATTCAACTTGGAATGTGTCAGTGTTTGATTTTCTTCTCGCAAAGAAAATAAAACAAAGAAATGTGTCGGTGTAAGATTTTTTTTTCTCGAGAAAGAGATGGTGAAGACTATTAACCAAAACGTTAAAGACCTCATTAAGACTAAATATTATCTGAGAACTTAGTTGAGGTTAAGATTTTTCATAATATTTTTAGCTTGAAAATATATTAAAATAATTATTTTTATTTTTAAAAATTATTTTTTATATCAAAATCATCTAAAATTATAAAAAAAAAATTAATTTTTATAAAATACATTTAGAACGGAAATTCAAAAAAATACCTAAGCCTTATAGAGGTCACTTTTGAAGGTTGAATGTGTTTCTCATATTGAGGGGGTGTTAGCAAATATCTAATTTACTACTTTAAAGTCAAACTTAAAAAATAATTAATAGAATATCAACACTATAGAACAAATTGTATTAAAATCTTAATAAATTAATCTTGAGGGATATAATTTAACTGGTCAGACTCTGAGTTTATTTTCTAGAAATCATCAATTTGAGTGCCACACACTTCAGGGTCACTGGAAGCTTATCTGGTTGTTAACTTCAGGGCTTCAGAAGATTAGTCAAGGTGCGCATAAGTTGGTCTGAATATCTACAGTTACTTAAAATTAAAAAAAAATCATTACATTTTTATTACGCTATATTTGTGTTTATTGGCATAAAAAAGGTAATTATCGGATAAAAAATGAATAGCGTAGAAGATAAAGTGACATTCCTTGAAGAGAAATATGTAAGCAGCATCAATCATGAATGATTGATGTATAATTTAGAAATAACTTGGTTAAAGATTCAGAAACGATCAAACTAATTGTATACGATCCATTTTACAAATGGGGTAGTTTCTACTATCTAGAAGCAAAATTTACCTCTCATTTCTCAACGATAACTCCCAGCCTCACTTCATAAGAGGTCATCGAGTCCACACCAAGCACAAATGCATACCGAATTTTCTTTCTTTCCTTTTCTTTTGTTAGACAACTCACATCACCAACAATCATCCATATCTACTACCTAACATAGGGATACACAAATAAAGTAGGAACATGTCGAAACACATTTGCATTGCTCAACATAAAGATACACACATTTTTAAAGAATAAAAAAATTGGTGGATCCAAGATATTGTTACAAGGATTTAGAATTATTTAAGATTTATACAAAGGTTATCTAGATTAAATATTATTTATGATTTTAAATAATTACTCTAAGGTTAGATTACTATAAAGCATAGGGCATAAGTTATTCAAGTATTTGGACTTTTCTTCTAGAAGAGAGGGACTCATATGTCTTTAGGTATTATGTATTGCGTACCATTGTATTGTACAAAAAATAAAAGGCATGTCATTCTATTTATAGAGAAACATGAAAACTCTATAAATGACAAAATCATTGATGTTTTTAATAAGATTTGAAACTCTCTTCAGATCTCATTCCATCTTATGCAAGGATTTACAATCAATAATATTTTAGAACATATGAAACATTTTTTCTAATTCACATAAAGTGATGAATCCTCTTTTGATTATTAAAATACATTTATGTAATTCATGTTATACTCAATATCTACTCGTTTGTTATCCTTAATTACGACAACGTGTAACATGATCAAAACATAACATTCTTTATATAAAATAATTTAGTGATCTCAAGTCTAAGGATCACTTACACAACAACCACATGAACATTTCAATAGACACATATGATCTCTCCATATGAAATTCTCATGTGGGTCAGTTCAATATATATGTCATCTCACAAACACCTACATGTTAGTTTTAGGTATCCCTTAAACCTCAGCTTATATGAAAATTGTTTCCTTTCATAAAGAAAAGAACAAAATATATATCAGGTTCGACAACTCTAATTAATATCCTTTCTCAATAAAGCATTGACCAAAAACCAATACTTGAATACAATTGAAATCTATGGTGTAGCGAGCAGAGCCGCACGAGAAATGGGCAAAAAGGAGGGGTGCAACACGAGGACATCCAATGAGGTCACCCATCCTAGTACTACTCTCGCCCAAGCACGTTTAATTGCGGAGTTCTGATGGGATCCGATGCATTAGTGCTGGTATGATCGCACCTATGAGTCCAAGCACGCGCAATTGCTATAACCGCTTCAAAGGTACCTACGAGGAGAGCGACGGGAGGCTACCAGGTGGTTCACGCACCGCCGCAAAGAGGCGGCGGCCTGGGGAAGCACAACCCGGGCCCCGGAGCAGGTCGGTTCGCATTGAACCAAAACGACGGCTCAAAAGGCCTGTAACCTGCGATCCGGTAGTTGGATCGCGCTCAGACTTTTACAGAAGCTTTTGGAGTCCGTTTTTCTTGAAGTAGCCATCGAATCGCTACTCAGACCACTAGATCTTTAGATCCTGCAGTCCTAACTATGAGGCCTTGAGTCTTCTGTGCCTTACCTCACTCTTCTCGAGGGAAACCTCATTCTTCTATCTTCGGCAGGCGAGGACGCTGAGCGGGAAAGGAAAGGGGGCAGGAGAAGGAAAAAGGAATAGAGGGTTGCGAGGGGAGCCGCACAAGAAACGAGCAAAAAAGAGGGGTGCAACACGAGGACTTCCTAAGAGGTCACCCATCCTCGTAATACTCCCGCCCAATCGCATTTAACTATGGAGTTCTAATAGGATCCACACATTAGTGCTGGTAAGATTGCACCCGTAAGTCCATGCACGCGCAATTACTATAAACGCTTTGAAGGCACTTGCGGGAGGCTTCAAGGCGATTGAAACACCATCGTAAAGGGGCGACGCCCTAGGGAAGCGCGATTGGGGCCTCGGATCGTGCCGGTTCGCACCGGACCAGAATGGTGGCTCAAAAGGCCTGTAACCTGCGATCCGGCCATTGGATCGGGTTTAGACCATTACAAGAGCTCTCGCAATCCGTTTTCCTTGGAGTAGCCGTGGAATTGCTACTACAACCGCTGGATCTTTAGATCCTGCAGTCCTCACCCCAGGGCCCTGAGTCTTCTGCGCATTCCCTCGCTCTTTTCAAGGGAAACCTCGTTCTCCTATCCTCGATAGGTGAAAATGTCGCACGGGAAAGGAAAGGGGGGCAAGAGAAGGAAAAAGGAAGAAGGGATCGCGAGGGGAGCCGAACGGGAAATGAGCAAATAGGAGGGGTGCAACACGAGGACTTCTAAGAAGGTCACACATCCTAGTACTCCTTTCGCGCAAGCGCGTTCGACTGCGGAGTTCTGATGAGATCTGGTGCATTAGTGCTGGTATGATCGCACCTGTGAGTCCATGCACACACAATTGCTATATGCTCTTCAAAGACGCCTGCGGGTAGAGCGAAGTGAGGCTACTAGGTGGTTCACGCACTGCCGCAAAGAGGTGGCGGCCCGGGGAAGCGTGACTAGGGCCCCGGAGCAGGCCGGTTTGCGTCGGACCATAACAGCGGCTCAAAAGGCCTGTAACTTGCGATCCGGCTGTTGGATCATGCTCAGACCATTACAAGAGCTTTCAAAGCCCGTTTTCCTTAGAGTAGCTGTGGAATCGCTACTCCGACCGCCGGATCTTTAGATCCTACACTCCACGCCTCTAGGCCCCGAGTCTTCTGTGCCTTCCATCGCTCTTCTCAAGGGAAACCTTGTTCTTCTATCCTTGGCAGGTAGAAACGCCGCGTGGGAAAGCAAATGAGGGCAAGAGAAGGAAAAAGGAAAAAGGGGGTCGCGAGGGGAGCCTTATAAGAAACAGGCAAAAAAAAGGAGTGCAACATGAGGACTTCCCAAGAAGTCACTGATCCTAATACTGCTCTCGCCCAAACGCGTTTAACTATGGAGTTCTGATTGGATCTGGTGTTTTAGTGCTGGTATGATCGCACTTGTGAGTCCATGTATGTGCAATTGTTATAAATGCTTCGAAGGCGCCAGCGGGGAGAGCAGCGAGAGGCTGCCAGATGATTAAAGCACCGCCGCAAAGGGGCGGCGGCCAGGGGAAGCATGACCAGGGCACCAGAGCGGGTCGGTTCGCACTGGACCAGAACGACGGCTCAAAAGGCCTGTAACTCTAAGTCTTTTGTGCCTTCCCTTACTCTTCTCGAGGGAAACCTCGTTCTCCTATCCTCGACAAGCGGGAATGCCAGTGTTTGGGAAAGGAAAGGGGGCAGGAGAAGGAAAATGGACAACAGGGTCGCGAGGGGAACCACATAGGAAACGGGCCAAAAAGACAGGTTCAACACGTGGGCTTCCCAAATGGTCACCCATCCTAGTACTACTCTCGCCTAAGCATTAACCGCAGAGTTCTGATGGGATATGGTGTATTAGTGTTGGTATAATCACACCTGTGAGTTCATGCACGTGCAATTGCTATAAGTGCTTCGAATGCGCCCGTAGGGAGAACAACATGAGGCTTCCAGGCGGTTCAAGCACCGCCGTAAGGGGCAGTGGCCTTGGGAAGGGCAAACGGGGCCTAGAGCGGGCCAGTTCGCACCAGACCAGAACGGCAGCTCAAAAGGCTCGTAACCTACAATCTAGCCATTGGATCACGCCTAGACCTTTACAAGGGCTTATGAAGTCTGTTTTCCTTGGAGTAGCCATGGAATCGCTACTCCAACCGCCGGATCTTTAGATCTTGTAGTCCTTGCCCTAGAGCCCTGTGTGTTCTGCACTTTCCCTTACTTTTCTCGAGGGAAACCTCATTCTCCTATCCTCGGCAGGTAAGAACGTCACGTGGGAAAGGAAAGGGGGGCAAAAGAAAGAAAAAGAAAGAAGGGGTGGCGATGGGAGCCACAAGAGAAACGGGTAAAGAAGAGTGGTGCAACACGAGGACTTTCCAGGAGATCACCAATCCTAGTACTACTCCTGCCAAAGCATGTTTAACTATGGAGTTCTGATAAGATCCGGTGCATTAGTGTTGATATGATCGCACCCGTGAGCTCATGCACGCGTAATTGCTATAACCGCTTCCAAGGCACCTATGGGGAGAGCAACACGAGGCTTCTAGGCAGTTCAAGCATCGTCGCAAAGGGGCGGCGGTTCGGGAAGCGCGACTAGAGGCTCGGAGCGAGCTGGTTCGCGTCGGACCAAATTAACGGCTCAAAAAGCCCGTAACCAGTGATCGGGTCGTTGGATCGCACCCAGACTTTTACAGGTCTCGAGAAAGCGTGAACAAGACTAACAATTTTATAATTTTTTTTGCAAAGCATTTTGTCTCAATAACTTTATCTGTACTTTAGATTCATTAATCAAATATTTGATGAATATTAAAGATAAATAATTTTTTATTAATAAATTAAATATATTTACATGAACAAAATCAATATCGCGTGTAACCAACTTATTTTTGTTGTTTTTTAAAAAAATTAGTTTATTTAATTTTGCAAAAGCGTCTGATATATAAATTTACAATCCTAAATGTTAAATATAAAAGGGTAAGACAATTTGAAAAAAATCAAAATTAATTGCAAAAATATCCCTTTGAAAATCTAAAATTTTACTAAGGTTGCATTTAGCAAAACACCCATAAAAAAAATGAATACAAGGCTCAAACAAAAATGTTAGTGTGTGTTTGACATACATGTCCTTAGCTAAAAATAAAAACTTAGGCTTTGAATTTGCTTGAAAAGGTTTTAGGGCTTGTAAGTTGATAGAATCTCCTCAACCCTTGATGTTCTAAACGAAAGAATAACAATTGATTACAGTTAAGAAAGAAATATTATCTTATTTTTTAGATATCAAAATAGTTAATTATACCATCTAAAAAATTTTGGTTGTTGAGGTGTGAGTTTGTTATGATTGCTCTTTGACTTTAGGAGGCTAAGGAAAAGGATTAAGTGGTAGGAATTAGGTAGGAACATCATGGTTATTGATCCGGACACCTATGATCTTGATTAATTAAGGGATAAAGGTGTAAAGGAGTCTAGAAAAGTACAACTCAGATATGTTCTCCGTGAGTTGTGATTAAGATTGGTCATAGTAGTATTTTTAGGGTCTTTGGAGATTAAATAATTGATTGCCGATGGTTGGATCTTGTTAAGAGAAATCATTATTTTATTTTAGGAGAATTTTAAGGTATTTTGGTGAGAGAATGAAGGATAAAATTGAGTTGAAACATGACAACTCAAACAACTTTTTCGGGTTAAAATAAATAAGAAAATAAATAGTAGTTGAAGAACGTCTCATTTATAGTTTCTCTTTTAAAAATAAACAACTTTTTCGGGTTAAAATAAATAAGAAAATGAATAGTAGTTGAAGAACGTCTCATTTATAGTTTCTCTTTTAAAAATAAACAACTTTTCATCTACAATACCTTCTTTAATTTAATCCTTACTCTTTCAAGTTTTTTTTAATTAATCCTTTAATTAAACCTAATTTTTGGGAATTTTTTTAATTTCACCCTTAGAATGTTTTAATTAGATCCTTGACTTTAGTGCCTTTTTAACATGGTCATTGGTATTGTATATTTTTAATCTCATCTTCAATTGGCCCTTTAAACTTTTAATTCTTTTCAATTAAGCTTTTGATTATACCAATTAGGCTCTTCAAAGTTTAATCGGGTCCCTAATCTTCTAAGTATTGCAAATTGACATTAATTAGGCCTTTAAACTTAATTTTCTTTCAATTAATTCCTTAATTAAATAAATTAAACCCATTAAAAGTTTAATTAAGCCCTTAAACTTAATTAATTCTTCTAATTTTGGTCAAATTGACTTTCAAACTTAATTTTGCTTCAATTAAGTCCTTAATTAAGTTAATTAAACCAATAAAAGTTTAATTAAACCCTTGAACTTAATTAATTCTTTCAATTTTGGTCAAATTGACTTTCAAACTTAATTTTGCTTCAATTAAATCCTTAATTAAGTCAATCAAAGCCATTGAAATTTTAATTAAGCCCTTGAATTTAATTAATTATTCTAATTTTGGCTAAATTGACTTTCAAACTTAATTTTGCTTCAACTAAGTCCTTAATTAAGCAGATCTTATCAATAACATTCCAATCTTACTATCCTTTTGGCATTTTGACATGTTGCAACTTGAAAGCTTATCTATCTGTGTCCTAAATAGTTTTTTTTGGATTTTGGATTTATTATCTTTTTGGATTTTTAAATCTTAAAAAAAAAAAGTTACATAAAAAAATTTGAGGGTGCTAAAATTGAGTTATGATAACATCCATGAGCTGGCCTGGCCCAAGTTCAAATTTCATTTGAAAAAATAAAATTTTATGGCCCAAAATATTATTTTACAATTTACTTAAACTCACCTTATGCCCAAGCTGAGCCGGCATGCACACTTTGTTAAAATTTTAATTTTAATCTTGAAGCCTACTTTGTTAGAACATCTCATCTTTAAAAGCTTAGGTGTTCTTTGAGTGTTCCAAAGTGGAATAAAATTCTTTAGAGGGTTTTGGATTTTATCAAAGCATGCCAACCTAAAGTTTTTTAAGATAATTTTCTCATTCTCCCATAATTTATTTAAATCATGTTAATATTTTATGTTAAAAAAACATATGTTAGAGATTAAATTCCAACAAAATTTTAGTTCAAAAAATGAGTAGATCTCACTTTTAGAGCCCGTTTGGCTCTGCGGCTGCGGCTGCGTTTTATTAAAAACGCAGTCAGTAGCCGTTTGATAACAAAAAAGCGTGATTTACTGTGTATGGGTCCACATAAATTTTGCGTCAAAAACGCAGGAAATGAAAAGCTAAAATTTCATGCTTTTCATGCACTGTGCAGCTAATTACACTGTTCATTGAACAGTGCAATTAGCGTGAACAGTGTACATGGTACACTGTTTACATTAAAATGTAATGCAGTGCAAGTGAATTGCACTGTTCACATGAACAGTGCAATTCACTTGCACTGTTCGTCCAGTTTTTTTTTTTTTTTTTTTGCAGTGTGTTAATTTTATTAATTTTTTTTTTAAAAAAAAAACTAGTTTAGAGTGAATTAAATTCACTTGCACTATAATATCAATTTTATATCTGATAATATTTTATCTAATTTTATTACACGCTCAAAAAATTATGAAAACTGTAGTTCTTATCGGATGAATTTTGTACGTAATGAAATTATATATAGTTTAATGGAATAATAAAAAATATTTTATATAAAATATTATTTATTCCGTGATGTAATAGGAGTAATTAAATTTACAATATTTAAATTTAAAACCATCAATATTAATATATATTTCTTAAAATTATTTTATAACCTCAATTTTAACCACAGTTTTAACCAAACACCTATTTTTTCAAACCAACCTCAATTAAAAGTACTTTTTATAAAACAACTTTTTTCAAAACACAACCACAACAGCTACCGCAATGCCAAACACACTCTTAATTTGACATCAAAAGTGATTATTAACTAATTTAAACAAATTTCCAAGAAAAATACATTTATACTTAGACTTCTCTTAATGAATCACAAATAACAATTAATTGATGGGAGATTTATCCACTATAGTAGAATTGTTGTGCAATTGGTATGATTATGTTTTTTTAAAAGCTTGTTTATTTTTGCGTTTCAAAAACTTTTTTGAAAAAAAATATTTTTTTTATTTTAAATTATTTATTTATATTTTTAGATTATTTTAATGTGATGATATCAAAAATAATTGTTTTAAAATAAAAAAAATACTATTTTGATATATTTTTAAACAAAAATACTTTAAAAAGTAATTATCATTACAATACCATATATGATAAAAATAAATAACTCATGGATAATCTATAAAAAAATTATTTAATTATTTAAATTTGTAAAAAATAATGATAAGAATGGATCATGGAGGATCCTAAAATATAATAATATTAAAAAATATAAATAAATTTTATATCTTTAGTTGCTAAATAATTTTGGTAATTCATGAAAGGCTATGCATGTTTTTCAATATCTATCTATTCAACAATACAGTGTAAGCCACCGCCACTCAGTTCAGTCCCTGTATCTGAACCGAAACTCCCGCCTCTGATATGACAACTTCCTCTTTATCAACAGTTCAGTCCTCAATTAATCACAAGCGACTTCGATTATCACCACAACGAGCCTCACCTAAACTCGATTTTATTAGAATTCCACAAAATCACAAGATCTACTGCGGCTACTCTTGCTTTGAGGCGAGTAATTAATTCTCTGTTTTTTTTCCCTAATCATCAGCAGCAGCTGCTGATGATGATTCCTGTATGCTTTTTTTTAATAGTTAATCACTGTAGGATTAATTAAAATCATCAAGTGTTAATTGCAGGTTAAGGATGTTAGCTATAGACCTCCAGGGACTGAGCTTAATCTCTTAAATAAAGTTACCTTTTCGCTTCCAGAGAGAAGGTAATGATTTAATCCGTTAATTAATTAAATGACGTGTTTTGCTGTATGAATCTTATTCTTCTTGCTCTGATTGATGTAGTTTTGGCTTGATTTTTGGTCAAAGTGGGAGTGGAAAAACTACTCTTTTGCAGGTTTATAACTGCCGTTAATTGAATTGGAAATGGTGTTTTGGTCCTTCTTGTAATTTGTAATTTTGTGTTTTTATTTTTTGTAGCTTCTTTCAGGGATAAGCAAACCAACGTCAGGTTCGATTTGTGTTCAAAGATATGGGAATGATGGAAATCCAAACCAATTGCCTGAACAGCTATCTCCTGAAAAAGTTGGTATTGTCTTTCAATTTCCCGAGAGGTATTCGTCCTTTGATAATTTGGAAATTTAGAATGCTTGCTATCTACATCGAGCCATTTCCGGCTTTAGGTTTATATACAGTTGAGTTTTCAAGAATGTTGTCTACTGCAAGCAAGGTACTTTGTGGCTGACACTATTGCTGATGAAGTTACATTTGGGTGGCCAAGGCGAAAGAGCAGCGTTCAATTAAGGGAGCATCTTGCTTTGAATCTGCAAAGAGCTGTAAATTGGGTACCTGTTTTTTTTTTTTTTTT